CCGTAGCCAATCAGTTGTTTTAATTGTCATATTTGAATTCAGCACATCAAAATACATAATAAATAGCACATTTTATCTCTGAAGCAGACGACTTCTCAAAAATTGTAGACCAGTGTTATATTACTTGATATGGTTTTCCTAGGATTAGTGAAAGCATATTAATTCTTCCACTTCTACACAGTTACACACCTGGGCAGATACACTGTAAGCACTATGGTATGTTCTAGCAGTCACAGCCACCAAAATGGCAGCTCACCAAAAGCAAAAAGAAAACCCTTTGAAAAGAGTTGCCCGAATCTGCAACAAAAGGCAGGATACAATTTTTAGAGACCAATTTTCTCTCTTAGCATGGAAGAGAAGAGTCACCAGATTCTCCCACTAGTTTTATTTGTGACCAATATTGACTTATTTTAGTACACACCTATACAGCTGTCCTCAAATGTCAGCCTTAATTGGATTCAAACCAATGCCTGAGTGCAGTGCGCATGATGAATGTAAATCACTTTACTTAACATAAGATGTAAGAAATGTCTCTGGATGGGGATTTTAATAAAAAAAATTCACCACTTTGCTTGGTTAAAGTAATAATTGATTTCCTAATGTATTTAAGTAATATGTTTTTTAAGTCTCTAGTGAACATACAAAGCACAGTGGAACAGATGGGCTGGAGAATCTAATGCAAATAAATGAGTAATCATAGATGCAGGCTTCCAAGACTTAATTTTTAAAGTTAGGGTGATTTGTCTTTTCTCATCAAGTAAAAAGAGTTGGCAAGGCAGGAAGCTGACATTCTACATATATTTGTTTACAAGATTAGATCCTCAAGCACCCTCAACTAATGGCCTCATTTCTGACCATAAGCGGTTCCCAGGGGTTCTTTTCTATCTCCATGTAAGTTCAGTCTTGAATTGACCTAGAAGACAAGATTCTCTCAGTTGTTTTATATCAGCTGCTGCCTACTTGAGTCTGGGCTAGGAAAATTAAACCCATTTCACTTTAGCATGCTTGGCTCTCAATGATCACGGTACATTGAATGGAAGGGATAGCTCAGTGGTTTGAGCATTAGCCTGCTAAACCCAGGGTTGTGAGTTCAATCCTTGAGGGGGCCAATTAGGGATCTGAGACAAAATCAGTACTTGGTCTTGCTAGTGAAGGCAGGGGGCTGGACTTGATGACCTTTCAGGGTTCCTTATAGCTCTAGGAGATAGGATATTGCCATTTATTATTATAACTCCTTGATGGCTATTCAAACAGGACAAGAAACCAAATGTTGGTGAGTGGCCCTCCAGTGAAAAGAACCCAAGCAACCAGAAAGGAAACTCCGGCTACCTCTCATCTGCCCATATACCCCTACCTTTTAGCACATTATCTCAGGCCAGAAAATCAGCTCCAGACAAACAGTATATCCCATCACACTAAACAACTACAAATAAGGCAGTAAAATAACAAATGAATATGCTCAATAGGCTAAAATAATTCATTCATGTAACATGCTTTGAGAGGCTAGGATGACTGTTGCTGTATTAGTTAAGTATTTTTACAGTCCCAAATACAGCATGGGCTATTCAGATAGGAAGGACATGAACGCTATATGATCCTGTGCCAGCATCGTGAAGTAAGCCAGAGAGTGACACATCTTATTATTAATTATTATTATTATTGTTATTTAAAACAGTCCAGAAAACACCAGTTCCTAAAACGCATCTTTGAGGTATGACACCACACCAAAGCAACCCCTCAAAATATTAGTATGTCTGACATTTCATGCACAATTGCCTACATTCCAAGTGGGCAGAGAGAGTTTGATGTGAATGGGGAAGGAATCAAGGACGAAGTTATCCCATGAGATATCCCATATGGCTGGAAACACAAAAATCTGTTTCTGAAAACACATACAGCCATCTATGAGTGTATTGAATAATCCTCTACCCCCAGCCATTGGTGTTAGTTACAAACCTGTTCATATCAGTCTCTGTCCTACCTGTGAATATGCTTGTATCTTTCCTGACTGTTCCAATTTCACGTTAGCAGGAGTGTCCATTATAGGACCATACTTCCATATCTATGATAGATCTGACAAGATTTCTGGTTCAGGGCAATATGCATCTTTTATAACCACATCCACTGTTCTACATAACAGCCTATTTGTGTATTTTAAGCCAAAGATCCATAATAAATAATGCACCTGCTTTGCAATATAAAGATGCAATTCTGCTGCATATATGTGCAATTACACAAGAGGCCAGAAGGAACTGCTATGAAATAATCTGGTATCCCCTGACACAGAATTTAGTCAAAGTGTGTAGAGCAATAAGGCAAAAAACAGGCTTAGTGCTAATGGAGAGATGGGACTCATAAAAGATGGACTCTGAGACACAAGATATGTCAGTCTTGTTTTCTTCTAGTTTTCACATCTGTATGTATTTGTTGCTTCAGAGCTGACCTGCAGACAGCTGTCTTGAGCTGCCAGTCTTCAGAAGAGGAACAGAGCCAATATCTATACTAGCATACTCTTATTTGTCCCAGGGCTGCTTGGGGAAACATTAACTTCCACAGGCATTCCATTTCCATTACAAGGCAATGCCCGGAGAATCATGCAGCTATGGCCTCTATTACGCAAGCTGCCCTGGATCTCTATTTTGCCCAGAGAAGCTTCCCATTACTGAG